TGTAGTTGTTCTGAAAACATGACTGAATATAACATCTGAAGGTAAGTTGTCTTACCTGGACATGTTTGAAAAGTCCAGTATAAGATGGATATGTATATTTTTTGATGCTTTGATGGTGACAGTGCAAGTGAGGCATCTAGATAAAGTAATGCTTTCATTTTTGACAATAGTTTTGTGCATGTACAATCACATCATTTAATATTAGGTGTAAATCAATAGATGACCTGTACTTGTATATCTGGCAGCAGCATTATTCAGCCTTAAATATGGCCTGAATAGTAATTTTAAAAATGCAGCATTAACATTTAGGTTGGATTATACCAGGAAGAGAATCATAATGGTTACCATTTCCTAAACAAATTGTATCTGAGTGTAGCAGGTGGTATTGAATGGCTCTCCCATTCAGCAAATTAGCTGCTTAAAAATATAGCCTTCTCCTCTAGAAGCACTGGATAACAGCCTAACTCTTGTATAGCTGACATCTGTGGAACAGGGTTCCTCTTTGTCTCTGAATATTTAAAGAGCAAACTATTGTTTTGCATATATAAGAGATATGAGACATGGTACAGAACTTCCAGGCAAGGATTGAAGTGGCATTAAGCCTATTTTTGCATAGCTTAGATGGTCCTGGGTGCCTACCTGGTGCAGCATTTTGTTGAGGCTGCCCTGTGAACTTCTGACTAGAATCGCTGCAGTACCTTGTGCCATGGCTCTGCCTACCATGCCAAGCTTGTCAGGGGTGCTTGGAAAGCAGTTTTACAGCTCTTGTTTTAAGTTTCTGAATGTGAGGGTTTTGGTCCATCAGATAAAAAAGACATCCCGGTTGGATGTGCTTGGATCTGTTAGTACTTGCACTTGACTGAAGGAATCTGCCCTTGGGTACAGGATAGCAGGGCAGTGGTTTTTAAAAAAGAAAAGCAAGGAGGAAGAGGGCTTCAACTACAAGAACAAATAAAGTAGTTATATATAGAATTTAGGAAGATTTAATTTTCTTCAAAAACATTTCACTATCCCTGCATATAGTCCTGCCTTGCTCAGACGTTTTAAATCTAGTGATATCAGTTTGAGCATCTTGTCTTCCCTTGACTGCTGTGGTGCCTTCTGTGATAGTTTCTGGAAAGAGGCTGTCTGTTCAATAACTTAAAACTGTTATGGAACTGAAATAGGCATTTTTATGCTTGGCTGTCAAAACACTTGTAGAACTGCGAAAGCATTGCATTTTCTTAGATATTGCAACAGATACTACGATGTGCTGTACTTTAGCACATTTTATTCTCCTCTGTTTTTTCCCTTCCTCTCTCCCTTGTCGAAGGTGGGCTTGTCATGGTTGTCTCCAGAGAGTCCTCTGACACTGATAATCAGTGTCTGTTTTTAAAACTTTCTTTTTATTTTTAGGTCTTTGTCTAGAGAAACTGCCAATTTCCTCTTCAGCTAGTAACCTCCATGTGGATCGTGAACAAGACATCATTACCTGCTATGAGAAGGCTGGAGATATTGCCCTTCTGTACCTTCAAGAGATAGAACGGGTAAGCTGAGATAATTTGTACAGTTGAAACAACTAATCTTATTTATCACACAACAGCTTGTAATCATCCATAGAACAGTATCACCTGTAGTGTTTCCACAAGAAACCTTCTGAAGGTAGACTAGGTTACATGGTTCATCTTTCATTGACATGATCAGATAACTTGCTATTTAACTACAACAGAGTAGTCTGATCTCTGTTCAGACATGAACATGACAAGGATGCACAGAAAACCCTTCTAGTACCCATTTAGTTCTGAACCAAACTTCACCTATAATATAACATCTGAAAATATATATAATTTTTAACTGTATTAAGTGAATGTGCCAGGTCTAATATGTGGCATTAGTTTAAAGCAACTTTCAGATAATCCCTGAAACCTAAGGATTACCATTACTTAAAAGGAAATAAATCTACTATTAACAGCTGAAATGTTGCACAAAAAAAAACTGGGGATGTAGTGCAATCTGTAATAATTCAATCTAAATACTGGAGATGGAATGGTGGTCCTAGAAGGTCCATATACATAAGCAAGGAGGCTGCTCTGATGTGCTTTAATTCCAGCATGTTTGCGCAGACTTGATTTAATTGAGTCTGCTGGAGCATGGCACTTACTGCGTTCCAGTAGCCTTCTGCATCTCGTGTATTGGCATCGCTGAGCTTCAAAATGGTAGCAGAGGCACTTTATCTGAAGCTTGTTTGACAAGCTTTAAATAAAGCACCCCTGCTGCCATTTTGAAGCTCAGGGACACTAATACATGAGATGCACTGGCTGCTTTAATTAGCTCTCAGAGCTGCTCTAATGAATTATACCGTTACTTTTGGTATAATTATGGTAAATTATACCATTACTTTTAAAGTGCCTGCCCTCCACCCCATCCTCCACTGCTGGAGCACATGTATAAATGCCCATACATGTCACCTGTTGAGGTTGATGGAAACACTTCCATTAATAGCAGTAGAGCCAGGATTTTATCCCAGTTCTCTCGTTCCTCCTCCAACCTGTATTTGCCATATTTCCAGGGCCATTGAACCCCATCCTCTGCATCTTCAGGCACTTGTTAGCCAAAGAAATCTCTAAATCTTCATTGCAGACCCTCCCCCACAGTACAAGAACACTATCCAGACTACCCCATAATATGCTGTAGATAAAAGCAAGGGAGATGAGGGCACTGCCAATGCCCTAGCACTACAGCTACAAGGAAGTAGTTGGCCAATATATGCTTAAAAGATCCTAAGGAAAAGACCATACCCCATGTAAAAGAGAAAGGGGGAAAAAAATCCCAGGATCCATTTGTCTGATTCAAGGGACAAATTAATTCTTCTAGCTCATTTCAGCTGCTGTTAGTGATAACAGCACAGCACTATCAGCCATGAAACTTCCTATATTCTGTCAAATTTAAGGCAGCTATTTGGGGTATTAGATGAGTACCAAAGTAACCAATCTAAAAAATGTGCAGACATCAGGGAGCAGGCCTTTTTTCACATAAATTGGTTGGCATGCTTAAACTGACGCAAGCAGTGCCTTTAATGTTGAAATCAATGGGCTTTGGCAAATACCCAGTTCCACTTACATGATCTAAGTGGCTGCCCTGCCTGCAGGTATCTTAAGTTGCTTATGCTGGAGTTAGGAAGGCAGAAGTGAATGGGGAAAGCTTTAATTTTCTACATGCTCCACAGCTGTCTGTTAAGAGCTGTGTGCTTTTCCTCAGCTGTTTTGTTGTTATATTCCACCCAGTAGACATCCAGCTGGAAGTCCTGGAGTGCATGTGACAGTCCCTCCCTCCTACCTTTTGGAAAGGTTCTTTTTTTCTTTTTATGCCATAAATGTATTTGTCTTCAAGTACATCTGGTGGCAAGGACTTCATCCTTTTAAGCCTCGAAGAAAACCAAAATGGCCTTTTGATCCTTTTCTGTCCTCTCAGGCCTTAAACTGGCCAGTTTCAGTTCATCAGTGCCACCATGTCTGCTTGTAGAAAGCCCATTGAACCTTGGAGAAAGATCTGCACTGGAGCGCTGCCAGAAAAGTCTACCTTCACACATACAACCCAGAAAATTAACACTCAAATCCCCTTACCTGCATATATGATCTGCAAGAGATAATGGAGGGCAAAGGTGATCTGCAGAACTGAAACTAAACATTCCAGAAGCAGTTCATTGATTTGCTTTGCTTTAAAAAAAAATCAAAATCACATGCATGAAGGGGCTAACAGTACTCGTGAAATATTGTGGGGTAGCAAACTGGAAATGATTCTATACCTTATAATGCGGGTGTAGCTGGAAAGCAAATGTTTTAATGTTAATTATGCTCTAAGTGTCCTCCATAGTATCTTACATTCTTTCTGCTGTAGGCTATGTAAATGTTACCTCACTGTTTGGAACCAAGTAGGCTCTGTACTGTTTAATTTATCCCGGAGAAGTTAGAATTGAAAAAGTAAATAATTATCCATCCCAGAAAGAGCTCATAGCACTATAGAATGACCATTTTTAATCTTTTAGCAGTACAAAAGCTCTAAAATATAATTTGCCATATGGTGTTTTTCTGTGGCAGACAAATCTATCCGTTCAGTGTCCTCTAGGTGCATTAGCTTATCAAATCATAGCTACTTCTCTTGGCGTAAGCACCGCCAGAATGGAAACTTTCACTGTTCTAATTGAATCCAGTGCCTAATATTGACCAGTCCTTTATGTGGATGCTACAGGTGAAAAATAATCTGCTGTTGCTTTGTGATATTCAGCACTTCCCAAAGCTGAAAGGGGAATAGGAAGAGCTGCTCTGTGGCCCAGTTTACCCAAATCCAAAATAACTTTTTTAAATTTTAAGACAATCCCTGAATCATTAGATTCTATGCATAGAAAATTTGCTGTGACCCCCACCCTTGCTACACAGTAGCCAGGGCTGGTGCTGGAGCTGTTGCAACTGCTGCTGGGGTGTTGGGCTGGTGTTACAGCAACAGTGTTCTCCATGCCCCAGTTTTTAAGTTTTTGGAGGAGGACTCCATGCCCCAGGTTGAAGGGGAGTCAGCGGAAACGGGAGCCAGAGGATAGTGCAGGCACCTGCTCCCTTTCTCATTTAAAAGAATCCCTCCCAACTCAACCCCACCCATGAAACTGTTTTTAAATTTGTGACACCAATATAATACCTATGTAGCATTACACTTGTTAGATACTGGTTTTCCCTGCCCTAATATTTATCTGTTCAGCTTGCAAGCTCTTTGGGCCAGGGTCTGTCTGCTCCTGTGTTTGTACGTTCTTACTTGGCCCCTAGGTACTGCTATAATCATAGGGAAGTAGGGCTGGAAGGGACCTCATAGGCATCTGGTTCAGCCCCTCCCTGATGTATCCCAGGCAAGTGTTTGTCTAACCTGCTCTTTGTCACACGCACACCATAATGGTGGCATCGATGCGTGAGGCACCAAGATGGTGAGCCCCGCCCTTCTTCCCCACAACCATCACAAAAGGGTAAAACAAATGCTGCCATACCATTACTTTCGTTATCAGAGCGTCACCAACATAGGTGAGGTCAGCTAGTCTGCAATGCCAAATAAGGCCGGGACACAGAACCCTGAGAGGTGATAGGTGAAAACAGCCAGCTCACTGTTGAGCGCATCACATGAGTGATATAAGGGAATGCACAGCCGCACCCAGGCGAAGTCGTTCATCACCTGCTTCGATTATCACAAGGGACGCTAGCCTGATCACCTAGCTTCCACCTCCCATTCACGATTAGCAACTGCTGAATGCCGCTTCATTGCCGGCCCGACGTGATTAGCAGTCTACTTCTCTGCATCTCGTTTCTCTCCTCAATGCTCACTGAGTAAATAAACCTCTACCTTCAACTACTCTCGATCTCCGTGACTATCACCTCACCTCCAGTCTCTTTGGGCGACGTGAGCTGGACTCACGTTAACCGTCCCATAGAGAGCTAATCGGCCCTTCTAACCCCGCTGTTCCGGTCCCTTGCGCTGTGATCGGACAGCAGCGTGACACTCTTGAAAACTTCTAAGGATGGAGATTCTATTATTACTCTAGGTAGCCTGTTTCCAATGCTTGAGCACCCTCAGAGTTTCATAGATTTTCATAGGCATTAGGGCTGGAAGGGACCTTGGAAGATCGAGTCCAGCCCCCTGCCTCAGGGGCGGAAAGTCAGCAGGGGTCATAGGATCCCAGCAAGATAAGCATCCAAATTTCTCTTGACGGCATTCAAAGTAGGTGCTTGAACCACCTCTGATGGCAGGCTGTTCCAGACCTTGGGGGCCCGGACAGTAACAAAGTTCTTCCTTACGTCCAGCCCGAAACGGTCTTGGAGGAGTTTGACCGTTTGACCTTGTTATCCCTTGGGGTGCTCTAGTGAAGAAACATTCCCCCAGATCCTGGTGAGCACCCTGATAAACTTAGGCAGCCATCAGATCACCCCTGAACCTGCGCTTTTCCAGGCTGAAGAGTCCCATGGCTCTCAGCCTCTCATCATAAGGTCTGTTTTCCTGACCTCTGATCATGCGCGTGGCTCTCTTCTGCACCGTCTCAAGCTTCTCCGCATCCTTTTTGAATTGTGGTGCCCAAAACTGGATGCAGTACTCCAGCTGCGGCCTCACCAAGGCCGAGTGCAACGGGAGAATGATGTCCTCGGATTTGCTTGAGAAACATCTATGGATGCAAGCCAGCATCTTGCTAGCTTTACTAGCAGCAGCATCACATTGAAGGCTCATGTTCATCTTGTGGTCAGTCGTGAACCCCGCTTAGAAAGGTCCTTCTAATACCCAGCTTAAATTACCCCGATGCAGTTTGAGTTTTATTGATCCTAGTCCTGTCCTCTATGGCCATGGAGAAAAGACCAGCTCCGTCCTCTTTGTAATCATCCTTCAGGTATTTGAAGTCTGTTCTCAAATCCTCCCTGCTCCCCCACCCCCAGCCTTATCTTCAGAAGACCAATTAATCCTAGCTCTTTCAGACTTCCCTCATTAGTCTTGCCTCCCAGGCCCCTAATAATTTCCAAACTGT